ACTTGTTGATCATCACATATTCCACCAGTGGTGGAGCCATTAATTAAAATTCAATGACTAAAAATGATTCTGTCTGTCCACAAAACTCCTGCTCCTCACCACTACAGTCGATTGCCTCCCCCACACCATACTTTACTGAGAAGAAAGAAAAAAACAAAGGCATGAACTCCTTCCCCTCCATTTGGAACTTTTCAAAGTCTCTTCTCCCCCCTCACTTAGAGGAAGAAGTGTTTCTTCTCTGTTCCCCTTCCCTGTTCTGTGATTCCACTGCCATTCGCTGACCCTCCTCCGCCTCCTCCACCTTCCAGACCTGCATCATCCACTTCCTGCTGGGAATTTTCTACTGGGCATTTGCTGCAAGCAGCCCTTGTGGCCAGAACTTCATCATGCCCACTGCCAGTGCCAGAAGAGAGGCATGAGGCCTCGAACACTGGAGGAGCCTCCTAACTGCTTCCTTTCTTCCAGCCTCATCTGTACCTCACACAGGTTAGCTGCCCTAAAACACTGCTTTGTGTTGATCCTGTTCAAAAACCTTCAAGTCATCCTGAACTTACAGCTAGAATGACACACACGTGCCACAGAAGAGCTCCTCTGTGCCCTGCTGCCACCCTTCACTCTGATCTGAGCGCACAGCGCTAATAGACCACAGCACTCTTCTTGCTCAACTCAGTACTCCTGGAAATCCCATCCAGTCAGAGGTGTGCACAGGAGACCTTCTACTTTATAGTGACCTAGAGCCCTGAGGATAAACTCCTGTGCTGTGTGGTCAAGGCCCTCCCCAATAATGGTTGCCTTCTTTCAGTGACATCTCAATTGATACTTACAGGAACCCTCTCTTCTAGCCAAACCACTTGTTTCACCGTCCCAAGGACGTGCCTGGCACTTTCCCACCTTGGCTTCTGCTCTTTGCTCATGCTGTTTTCCCAGATTTGTTTTCCATACCCTCTTCTCTATGTACCATACTTCCCTCCCCACCAGGTCCAGCTCAGATGCTAATTTCTACACAAATCCCTCTCGATTGCCTCCACGGGACATGCCATCTCTCCCCTTTAAACCACTCTCTATTGTCTGGCCCATCTCTCACTGCCTGACAATGGCCACTTACAAGTCTCTGTCTCTCTTTCTAGTACCATCCCTTTATCTCTTATACCCCATAGCTTAGAGGAGGATGTTAGAAACACAATCTCGTGTTCTTAATTTCCCAGGTTTTAGAAACAAAAGTGCAGAGAGGGTAAGGGATTTATTCGAGGTGACACAGTAAGTTAGAGCAGGCCTGGGTATAAAACATCAATTTCTGGATGCCCCCTCAGCATCATTCTCCCCACACTATGCTACTTCCTTCACCACCTAAGGCTGACTTCCTTGCCGGAAGAGAAGGTATTTTATACTTCATATACATACCCGTCCTTCCCTCCCACACACATGTGTAGTGTACAGAGTTGCTTTATAAGTATTTGTTGATAATGAAAAGACAGTCCCACTTGGAACTACAGTATTTGTGTAGTCTCAAATATGAAAACAATTCTCTTTTCTTTGAGAAGGGGAACATTTCTTTTTCTCTCTTTCTTCCTTTTCTTCTTTTTTTATTGCGGTAACATTGGATTATAACATTATATAACTTTCAGGTGTACATCATAATATATTTCAAATTCTGTGTAGGAACATTTCAACATATAACCAGAGAAAAGCAGTAATAAAAAAGAAATGCATTTAAATACTCTGATAAAATCATCTCGTTCTCAGAAACACAAAGAAAGGATACCACCTCCCTTTGCCCAAGGCCATTTTGAGACGGAGTAGATCAATCTGATGTCTTTCTTTTCTTACTGCCAGATAATTCTGCTCAAAAGTTCATTGCAGAGATTAGATGTGGTGACTGTGATACTTAATTTAACTAAGATGTATTTGGACCAATTGCATGCAGGACTTGTTCTCAGCCAGAGGGGGAGATTCAAAAGTGAGAGCCTCATGAATTAACTAGGAGATAGTCACACATAAAAGTGACTCGAGGGGCCGGCTCCGTGGCCAAGTGGTTAATTTCGCACGCTCTGCTGTGGCGGCCCAGGGTTCAGATCCTGGGCGCGGACATGGCACCGCTCATCAGGCCACGTTGAGGTGGTGTCCCACATCCCACAACTAGAAGGACCTGCAACTAAGATATACAACTGTGTACAGGGGGGAGTTGGGGAGATAAAGCAGAAAAAAAAATTAAAAAAAAAAAAGAAAAGAAAAAGTGACTCGAGGGGCCAGCTCAGTGGCACAGCGGTTAAGTGTACACACATTCCGCTTTGGCGCCCCGGGGTTCACTGGTTCAGATCCCAGGTACAGACATGGCATCCCTTGGCAAGCCATGCTGTGGTAGGCATCCCACATATAAAGTAGAGGAAGATGGGCACAGATGTTAGCTCAGGGCCAGTCTTCCTCAGCAAAAAGAGGAGGATTGGGAGCAGATGTTAGCTCAGGGCTAATCTTCCTCAAAAAAAAAAAAAGTGACTCAACCTCAAGACACAATCTCAAGGTGCTCTGCTGGAGGGTCTTACAGAAATAGCCAGGAAGCACTTGAAAACTTCTTCTACCTCACTGGTAATCAAAGACAAGCAAATTTACATAATAATAAATATCATTATTCCCTGATCAAATCAGCAAGGTTTTTTGTTTTAAATCATAACAACTAGCATTGACTATGTTACTGCCCAAGGTGGGGATCCTCTGCTCAATGCAAGACATACCAACAGTCAAGAGGCAAGGTGGTAGGAGAGAAAGCATTTTTATTACAGCTTGCTAGCAAGGGGGAAGATGGTGGACTAATGTCCTAAGGAACCATCTTACAGAGCAAAGACTGCAGGCCAGTTATGTCGGGGCTGCTGTGTGGGTCAGGGAGGCATCTGATCTCTGGGTGGGGGCAGACTTTGGGTCTTAGTTCCTGATAATCTTTTGTTTTACTGGATCTTCATCAGAGACCAAAGCAACACCCTATACCCAGATCTTTCAGTTGTCATAGATGATGGCTATCAGCATAGACTCTCTGCCCTGGAGTCATCACATTCCTAAGGAGCTCAAAGGAACAAAGTTATCACAACTAGCAGGGGCCATGAAATCTACAGAGCATGCATATCTCCTGGAGGGTGCATATCCGGATGGGTTAGTTAATCAGGTCATTCCAAGTTACAGTATGGTTTATTTTCTACAATATGGCTTCCCTTATGTCAACCTTGTGTTGAGCTGGTATCAGGCAGAGTTTGGGGAAATGGGCTCTCAAACAGCGGTGGTGGAAGATCCTTTCAGGTGGATGATTTAGCAAAATTCTTAAAAACCTTAAAAATGCACATATCATTTCACCTAGCAATTCGATTTCCCCAATTAGACCTAATAAAGTCTGTTTTCCAAAGATTTTGCTACAAAGATATTCATTGTATCAATATTTTTACTTGTAATAGTGAAAAACTGGACACAATCTAAATAATGATAACTAACAATTGTGTATTTGCTGTGTCCTAGATGCTTGTCTGATCACTTTGCATAGGCTAATTCATTCAGACCTTACACACAACTCAATGGGGACGTACTAATAGTATTATCATTCCCATTTTACAGATGAAGGACTGAGGCACAGAGAGGTTAAGAAACCTGGTCATACACCTAGTAAAGGGAAGAGTCAGGATGCAGCCCCAGCAGTCTAGCTCAAAGCCCATACTCTTAACCATTCCACTCCACTAGCTCTCCAATGTAAACAGACAATAATAGGAAAATGGTTAAAATCAGTAATGCTCAACATGTGTGTGTGTGTTCGTGTGTGTGTGTGTGTGAGAGAGAGAGAGAGAAAGAGAAAAGAAGAGAGAAAGAGGGGGAGGAAGAAGGGAGGGAGGGAATGACTGTGTGTCAGAGGCAGGAGAGTTGTGTCATGAGAGTGTATCCAAATTACTTAGGGCCTCTCTTACTGGTGGGAATGTGTTGTATTCCTTGGGAGTAAAGAGGAGGGGAGAAAAGGGACAGAACCCCTGGGTTGCATGAATTATAGCACAAACACTATGCAATCATTAAAAATTACAATATATAATTATATTGAGTTGTGTTCTAGAGCAGTGCCTTTCAAACTCTTTTGACAGGACTTCTATTAAGAAATAAACATTTTGCATCACAACCATGCCCATCTGTAACAGGTTGAGGGTAATCTGGCTCCCACCAGCACAACTGTGCTAATTGTTTTTGGTGGGTATCTATTCTTATGTCATGCCAGTTTTTAAATTTTTTGAATATCATATACATTGTTTTATACACACACACACACACACCCCTGACTTAAAAGTTTCATGAAGCAATACTCAATCTTTGTGTGACACTCATGTTTTCTCTTCTCTTTAATTCTTTTCGGTTCTGCTCCATTCTGTTTCATTCCACTCTATTCCATGCTTAAAATTCTGGTTGTCAGCCTCTATTGATTTCATCATCCTAAATTAATGTACCCATAATTTGAAAACAATTCCAGAAGAAAATCATGGCGCTTGTAATACCCGAAATTTCCACAAGAGGACACCACAATTCTAGCCGGACACATTTTATACCAAAGGCTCTACCCCCGGGAGAGGGAGACGGGGAGGACAGGGATGTGGTCACTGGGCCAGGAATGGGCACCTGGCCCAGGGACAGCCAATCTCTTGAGCATTAACCAACTAAAGACCCGACACAAAAAGCCCCGCCCCTAGGAGATTATCAGGATCCATCAGTCTCAGGAATCTGAAACGGAAACTGCAGAGAGATTTAAGTGGTTGACAGAATAAGGGTAAAGGTGAAAATCCGTCAGATAAGGAGAGGCTAGAAGGGTAATAATGCGTCACGAATAAGCCAAAGGTTTCAATACGTTCAAGTTATGGAGAAGAAGACAATGAAAAAAACAGAAGCTATAAGGAGCTAAAAAAAACCCAACTCCCGGCAGGGAAGCCTGTCGACGGGGAGAGGGCGATACACGCTGCAGAGCGGTCACAGCAATGGCGGAACCTCACCGGGAGACCTCGAGCTCCGCCGCCAGCCTCCCCGGAGCGTCCCGCTCGCTCCGTGAGCTCGTTCTTGGCTTCCCTTCCGAGGAGTGTCATGGGTCCCTGTGTTCCTTAGTGCTGGGCGTCCTTACAGGAAACTCTTCCTCCTTCTGCTGACCTCGCAGCAGAAGCGTCTCTGCTGTTTCTTCCTACGAGAGAGTCTAATTGAAAAAAGCAAAAGAGAAAAATGGTCCCGGTATGTTAAGGATATCACTTAATAGCATTTCTTTAAAATGTAATTTTGTTTTAAAATGTATAATATAAAATCCGAAAGGATATACATCAAGATATTAACAGTGGTTATAGCTGAGAGAGGATCTTGTGAGCATACTTTTTTCTTTTGCACAAATATCCTTTTTTCCTAAAATAAACATGTAGTAATTGTTTGATGTTTTAAGTGCAGTGCTCATTAAAAGGAAAGAAAATTTTAAAAACCAATATATTTTTATAGATAACAGTACAAGATTGCTCAGTGTCTCCAGAAGGATCATGTGATTTGGGCTGGGCCCCCGAAGCCTTGCAAGGTATAGGTGTCCTGGGCACTTTCCTCGAAGGGGCCACCCTGAGTGGGTCCAAGAGGCTGGTGCCTATGGGGAATACTGGAAGACAGTGGGGGGCTGACTGGAGCTGAAGCAGAGGACCCCAAGATCGTGAAGGATACAAAACTTTGAATATATTTGGTGGAGATTGTTTTTTTTTTAGACTTCTAAAAATTATGCAATATTTGATAGATATTTAAAAAGATGTAATTTATATGTAAGTTATAGAGCATAATAATAAAACAACAGAAATATATCCATTACTCAACTTAAAACACAGGACATGACTAATACCTTTGAGACCCTCATATACCCCTCTGTGAACCCATCAAGCTCCTGCCCTTCCAAAAGTAACCATTTTTCTGAATTTCGTTTTTAACATTTCCCGTATGGTTTTATTGTAAATGTATACATCTTTAATAATAATAATAGCTAACATTCTTTGAGTGCTTCCTCTATGTAAGTCACTATTCTAAATTCCTTACATATTTTAACTCTAATCCTCACAACAACAGTAAAGGTGAATATTGTTATCATCTGCATTCAGCAGATGAGAAAACTGAGGCACAGAGAGGTTAAGTGACTTGCTCAAAGTCACACAGCTAGTTAATTGTAAACCCTGGTTTCAAACCAAGGCAGTCTGCTCTAGCTTTTGTACCCTTACCTACCTATTCTACCTACTCTTAACAATATATTGCCATTCTACTTATGTTTAATCACATACAAATAGAATTCTACTGTCTTAGTTTTGTTTGCCCGGAAGCACAGTCTGAGATAAGGATTCTCATGCAAGTAGTTTATTTGGGAGGTGAGCCTCTGTATTAGTCAGGGTTCTCCAGAGAACTAGAACTAATAGTATATATAGAGAGAGATGTATATAAGAGGAAATCTATATTTATTATGGGAATTGGCTCACATGGTTATGGAGGCTTAGAAGTCCTGCCTTCTGCTGTCTGCAAGCTGGAGACCCAGGAGAGCTGCTGGTGTGGTTCAGTCTGAGTCTGAAGGCCTGAGAACCAGGGCCCAGTGTGTACGTCCTGGTCCGACTCTGAGAACTGGAGAACCAGGAACACAAATGTCAAGAGACGGAAGAAGATGGGGTCTCAGCTCAAGCAGCGCGAGCTAACGTGCCCTTCCTCTGCCCTTTCGTCCATTCGGGTCCTCGGCAGATTGGACGATACCCACCTGCAGTGGTGAGGGCACTCTTCTTTGCTCCGTCGACTCATTCAAATCTCTTCCGAGACACCCTCCCAGACACACCCACAAGTGTTGTACCAGCTGCCTGGGCATCCCTTAGCTCAGTAAAGTTGACACAAAAAATTAACCATGACAGCCACAAAAACCCAGTAAAAGAGGGGGGAACTGAGACAGGGAAGGAAAAACAGCCGACGAAGAAGTTACCCCTGTGGGCGACTATATATGTTAATGACACTGAGGAACCAGAATAGAGTATACACTTTAGAATTAACCCACCCAAGCGGGAAGGGGGCTGGAGTATTTATACACCAACTCCTGTCCATCATTGGTTGGAGGCTGCTCCCAGAGGGCGTTAATTCCATGGCACTTTTGGCCTGTCGTGTTTGTAGGCAGAGCAGGCTTCGCAAACAGAGAAACTTCTCTGGCAAAGGGTTGAAATTACTGAGAGTTGGGGGCTGGAATCTCCTGTGCTGAAATGGTGAGGCCTAACAGGATATGAGCAGGGCACTTCCAGTGTCTGTGATGCACTCCACGAGCATTCTGCAACTTGCTTGTTTTGGTTGCTGTTCATTACCAAGGCTGTGAGAGTCTGCCACGTTGGCATGTTGATACGTAGAACTGTGGTTCATTCATGTTCACTGCTATATTCCATTGTGTGAATATATTCCATTTATTTGTCCATTCTTTCGTTAATGGACATTTGGGCTGATTCCACTTTTTTGTTATCACAAATAACGTTATCTTGAACCTTCTTGCACAAGTCTCTTGCTGTGTTTGTGCAAGAGTTACTCCTATACACTTAGGTTTAGAATTTTGGGGGTAGGAAATATTTGCATCTTAACTTTTACTGTCTAATAAGTACAGTAGTTTTCCAGTAGAGGTACCAGCCACAGAGTGTATTGCCTAATGTTTCATATCTTTGCCCAAAATGGTATTTTCAAACTTTTAATTTTTGCCAGTCTGGTGGGTATAAATAGTGAAAGTTCTTCATCTTTTGGGGATATATAGACTATATATATATATATATATATATATATATATATATATATATATATAAAACTATATATTTATATATAAAAATATGTATTATATTATATATTTTAAATTTACAAGTCAGGTAGATTCAAGTTCACTACTGGTTTCTGTCATTATAATTTAAATTGACTGAGAAGAAAGGTTGGATAATAACACTCGGAGTTGTGACTATAAATGAATGAAATTGTTTTGCCTGCGTAACTTGAATGATGGTTAATTTTATGTGTCAACTTGACTGTATCCTGGGGTGTCCAGATATTTGGCTAAACGTTATTTCTGGGTGTGTCTGTGAGGGTGTTTCCAGATGCAATTAGTATTTGGATCAGTGGACCCAGTACAGCCGTTGGCCATCTCCAGTGTGGATGAGCATCATCCAATCTGTTGAGGGCCTGAATAGAACAGGAAAGTGGAGGAAGGAAGAATTCAGCCCTTCCTGTCTGATTACTTGAGCTGGGACATGGTTCTTCTTCTGCCTTCGGCACACCCCCGGCTCAGACCTTTAAATCTGGACTGGAATCTACATTATCAGTTTCCCCGGTTCTCCCTGAGACCTTTAGACTCGGACTGAATGACATGACCAGCTCTCCTGGGTCTCCAGCTTGCAGATGGCAGGTCATGAGACTTCTCAACTTTCATAACTGCATGAGCCCATTCTTTGTAATAAATCCCTTTATATAGATATTTTATTGATTCTGTTTCTCTAGAGAACCTTGACTAATACAACTTGCCACAGGTTCTAAGGTCAATTAAAACAAAAGGAGACTTTCAAAACTGTGAGTGAAGTTAGCAACTTGAGTTAGATGTAGTGTCTAAGGATGACATTGTAGGATGACACTGAAGTTCTGTGTGCCTATTAAAAAGTCAGTGTCCTTATTTTATAGGTAGGTCTCATATATGCAGGTGATAGGTTTCCTTCTCCATACTCTTACTCAATAATTCTCCTAAGACCCTTTTCACTTTGGACCAAGTGGTTTTCCTAGGGGACTTATAACAGGAGAAAGCTTTGTCCACATTAATAAATTCTTATGACATCTTTAGTGAAGGAGGAAGTAGTTCCCAGTAGAAGTTCCCAGTATTAGTTTCATAGGACTGTCGCAAGAAATTACGACAAACTGGGTGGCTGAAAACGACAGAAATTTGTTCTCTTATAATTCTGGAGTCCAGAAATCCAAAATCCAGATGGCTGCAGGGCTGTTTCCTTCCGGAGGCTCTGAGGGAAGATCCATTCCCCGCTTCTCTCCTAGTTTCTGGTAGCTGCCAGCATAACTTCAATCTCTGACTCTGTCTTTGCGTGGGTTTCTTCTCTGTGTGTTTCTATATGGCCTTCTTCTAAGGGCACTGGTCATTGGATTTAGGGTCTACCCTAATCCGGGATGATCTCATCTCATCTCATTCTTACCTTAATTACACCTGCAAAGACCCTTTTTCCAAATAAGGTCACAGCCACAGATTTTGGGTACACATATCTTTTGGGAGTCCACAATTCAACCCACTACAGGAGGCAACAGAAGACATTGTCATCAGGAGAAGGTAATAACTTAGATATTCAGAGGTTCTGCTCATATCTCTCTTCTAGTGGGTGGGGTGGGAAAACACCATGCTGAGTGATATAGATGAGATTTCATCCTTTGTGTATTCTGAGAGTTAATACCGTTTCCCTAAATAGAGGCTTGGTGACAGATGTCTGCCCTCACCATAGGGATTGTCAAGGAACCTAGCCAAGGGGAAGTGGTGTTAATATTTTCACTGGGAAGAATATAAGAATATTTTCCTCCAAGAAGGAAAAATATATGTGCTGTTGGGTGGATAGATTGCAAGAGAATTGCATTATCTTGGTTATTATTTATTTTTTCTTCCCAATCTTAATGTCTTTCTTAAAAAAAAAAAAGCTTCACAAAGTTCTTCTCTAGAAAATAAACTTATACTGTAATGTTCTATTTATTTTACTAAAAAAGTCAGAATAATGAAAAAATGTTAACTTTTTCATTTTTGGTGGTTTTTCTTGTTCTTTTTTTACTATTATGTATTTTTACAATTAAAAAGTTAATTTGATAAATTTGCCGTAATTAGCAAGAGACATAGATATTGTGTTGAGCAACACCATTGACTTCTTCAGATGTTTATTTTTCACCATGAACCTAGATTTCTAAGCAATAAGATAGTCGCATTCCTGTCTAGTCTCCCTTAAAAATTTAACGTGATGTTATTCTAAGTGTGATTTCCCCATTGTTATGTCTATTTAGAGAATAAATTATGTAGTACGGAAGGCGCCTACAGCAAGGCTTGAGTGTGTGCAGTGCTGTGCTTACAGACTAAAAATATCAGTTATCACAGAGAAAGCACCTTTGTGAAAAAGATTTAATCCCCCCCCAAAGGCCAAAAATATCCAATGTCACTACATAAAAAGCTAATATAACTACACTGCATCTGTGAACTACCTTTATATTTGTTTTCCTTCTTTTCTCCCCTTAACTTTAGGCTATTCTCTCTTATGCCAAAAAGTCACGTGATTTTAGTGTCAGAGATCTTAGAAAAACCCATCTATCGGTTCTGTCGTTCTCATTTCACAAGGAAGAAGTGGAAACTCTGAGGGTTAAATACATAACTGAAGGAGACACACAGCCAGGGCCGGGTGCACACTTCTCAAGCTGAATGCCTGAACTGTAAACAAGTTACTCAAAATCATTATCAGGAATATTCTAGATCTGGAATGAAATGGTAACAAAAAGTAACTGTCTGATGTCATGCCTATCATTTTTTCCCATGCTTTCTTAAGAAATGTATTATAGTTCAAGACCTAAAAAATTCTCTACCTTGTCCTTGAATCTTTATTTTCAAATTTCTAACTCATGAAATTAATTATAGCACTCCTCCCTTATGGGGATATGTTTCAAGACTGTAGCAGATGCCTGAAACCTCAGATAGCACCAAACCCTATACATACTATGTTTCTTAAAGTTTAATTTTGACCCAGGCACAGTAAAAGATTAACAACAATAACTAATAATAAAATAGAACGATTATAACAATATACTGTAATACAAGTTATGGTAGATCTTAGCAAGTTCAACATATGATTTTTTTCTTTCCTTAATAAGTTGAGAATTATCAATTTTTTACTTAAAGGAAGCATGTTAAGGCTTTTCTTAAGCATATTCAAATTGCTGACATCGCTGCTTTTGCGATTTGGGGCCAATATTAAGTAAAATAGGAGTTACTTGAACACAAGCACTGCTATACCACACAGTCGATCTGATCACACAGATGGCTACGAAGTGACTAAGGGGTAGTTAGCATCTACAGCATAGATATGCTGGATAAAGGGATGATTCACATCCCTGCTGGAATGGAGCAGGACAGCTCAAGATTTCATCACACTACTCAGAATGGCTAGCAATTTAAAACTTACCAATTGTTTATTCCTGGAGTTTTCCATTTAATATTTTCAGACCATGGTTGACCATGGGTAACTGAAATGGTGGAAAGCAAAAACCACAGATAAGGGGGGGCTACTGTAGTTAAAACACACATGCACACACACACATACACACACACAATTTAAAACCCAGAAGTTATTTGAACTTCAATAAACTGTTCACCTGCTCAA